GCTTCCAGGGAGCTCGGACGGGCAGGAAGCCAGCCGGGCTGCTGGGGTCACCAAAAATACCTGCAGAGGAGCGGCACTGGGAGCAAGAAGGAGTTAAGATAGGAAGGAGTTAGGAGCGGGAAGTGTGGAAAAAGCAGGTGGGGAGATGTCAGGCAACAGCTGGTCTCTGTGGAGGGAGAACATCTCTCTGAGGTAATGCCTGCCCAAGAGAAGCCGAGTTGCAGAGAAGAGTCATCTAGGGACTCACCAACACCTTGTGTCATAGAACAAAAATCAATATGAACATTACAGCTAAGGTTGAGAAGTCAAAAATGTTCTGCTCAATGGAAAGCTGTGTCCTGAACTACATCGTTCCCCCTGTACTCAGCACTGGTGAGGCCACACCTGGAGTGTTGTGTCCAGTTTTGGGCACCTCAATTCAAGAGAGATATCAAGGTGCTGGAGCAAGTACAGAGGAGGGCAACGAAGCTGGTGAAGGGCCTAGAGAACAGATCTTATGGAGAGCACTTGAAGGAGCTGGAAATGTTTAGTTTGAGGAAGGGGAGGCTGAGGGGAGACCTCATCGGTGTCTACAACTCCCTGAAAGGTCATTGTAGAGAGGCAGGTGCTGGTCTCTTCTCACAGGTAATTAGTGACAGAACAAGAGGGAATGGCTTCAAGCTGCAACAGGGGAGGTTTAGACTGGACATTAGGAAAAGATTTTTCACAGAATGAGTGGTTGGACACTGGAATAGGCTGCCCAGGGAGGCAGTTGGGTCACCATCCCTGAAAGTGTTTAAGGGTTGTTTGGATGTGGTGTTGGTGGATATGGTTTAGAGGAGAACTTTGTAGAGTTGGGGTGATAGTTGGACTTGGTGATCCCAAGGGTCTTTTCCAACCTGAACAGTTCTATGATTCTATAATCACCAACAGAATCTGATCTAGTCAACAGTGTTGGTTCCTTCCCTAGAACAAGAGAAGCTGCGTAGGATTCAATACACATTTGCATACAATTGTGTGTCTTGTATATTGCAGTATTTATCCAGATGTATTGTTGGGGCATCGCTTGAAAGCACAGAAGAAGAGGAGGAGGAAGATGAAAATAATTCAGCTGCTGCAATTTCTAGTAGGCCAAAGGAGGGAGTCTACCAAGTAGTGGGTACCCTTTCTAATCCAGAGAATACTAAACCACATTTTGCAGAGGAAACGTATGCAGTAAGTAAGAGTCTTACTTCAGGTTGCTCTTAGACATTAGAAATATTGCAATCATGTAAAACTTCATTAATAAAGTAACTTTTGTTGCTGTTGGAAGCTGCATATGTGTATTTGATTACTTCTGCTTCCTGTGCACAGTTGTCTCTTCCCCACTAGGTTTGATACAGCAAATAGTAAAAGGAAGGAACTCTGACTCAAAATATATTAAAAAAAAAAAAAAAGAGATACAGACAGGACATAATCTAACCTGATGATTCAGAAGTCTGCGTTCCTTTTCCTTCAAAACACACATCTCAAGTATCTCTTTTGTCTCTGTCTTTTATCATAATTTTACTGGTAGTGGTGCTGGAATCAAAGTTGCTGTCTCCCTTCATAACTATTCACTGAAATCAAAGCTTTCACTAGCACTAATTGTTATGAATACCTGCATCTTTTTATATAAAGATACATCCAAAGTTTAGTTAACTAAAGGAAGCTTGCTTTTAAGAATGTAATTGCTTATTGCTTGATTTCATTTTCTGAAACTACATTTGCCTCTAACTGTCTGAAATCTATTATTCAGAATTTCTTTAAACATTTGAAAATTTTGATGTAAATGTCTATACAGCTGAGCTGTTCAATCTGAAAATTATGGCTGGCAGTATAGTCTTAATCAATCCTCTTGTCCAAAGTGATTGTTGGACTTGCTCAAGTGATGCAGACAAACATTTAACAAAAAAAGACGGGAAGTTATTTTGCAAGGAAATGGATTTTTTAAAATGTCTTTTTAATACTGCCAGCTGATTCTTATTTAAAATACCCATGTAAGCCATGGACTTTTATGCACTGAAAATGTGAATCCTAAAATACTATTAAAAGCTGAACATGTTTTTTAACTATATTATTGTGTACTCTAAATTAGAAGTTTTAGCATTTAATGTACATTTCATCACCTTACTTGTACCTGGCATAAAATTTGACACTTGTCTTATGAATTATTCTAACATCTTGGTGTTATAAAGCCACATTCTA